ACAGTCAACGTTCAGTTAACGTTCAGTCAACGTTACAGTCAACGTTCCAGTTAACGTTGCGAAAATGCTGGCAGGGGCAGCATTTTGGAGTTTTCAAGCATAAAAAGCAAGAAATACATGTATTTCTTGCTTTTTATGCTTGAAAACTCCAAAATGCTGCCCCTGCCAGCATTTTCGCAACGTTAACTGGAACGTTGACTGTAACGTTGACTGAACGTTAACTGAACGTTGACTGTGACTTCTATGCAACGTTGCCCTGACTGGAAGTATCTGCAAGCCATGTAGGAAAGCCACGAGCAGGCCAAAGCTAGACCCCGCTCTGGGGACTGTGGATGGAGGAAATCTTGCACCACTTTTAAGATATGTTAGTTAGCTTCACCCCGCGCCCCCTTCTTAACATTGCTATGAACACGGGGATTTACAAAATCGTTCCAATGACATAAATCTTGCACCGCCCCAAGAGGTCTGTCGTCAATGTTAAGAAGGGGGCGCGGGGTTGTTGCTTGGATGTGTATTCGAAACAAGATGTGTAGGTGGTGCAAGATTTCCTCCATCCACCGACTCGAGTAATGACGTTTCTAGAGGCTCGTGATATGACGTTTCTAGAGGGTCGTGACATGGTGCGTGACGTACTTGTGTGGCTTGCCATGAAATGCCATTGCAGCAAAATCTGAATCGCCGTATAGCAGCGTCCATGTCGCTGTCTTCGCTAATGGAGCCATGCAGCCCTGACAGTGCATCTTGCGCAGCAGCCAGGTCATTCTAAAATCGCAAGAATTCCACAACTTTGCTACATTTGGTAGGAATTTGCAGTTAACGTACAGTCAACGTTCAGTTAACGTTCAGTCAACGTTACAGTCAACGTTCCAGTTAACGTTGCGAAAATGCTGGCAGGGGCAGCATTTTGGAGTTTTCAAGCATAAAAAGCAAGAAATACATGTATTTCTTGCTTTTTATGCTTGAAAACTCCAAAATGCTGCCCCTGCCAGCATTTTCGCAACGTTAACTGGAACGTTGACTGTAACGTTGACTGAACGTTAACTGACGTTGACTGTGACTTCTATGCAACGTTGCCCTGACTGGAAGTATCTGCAAGCCATGTAGGAAAGCCACGAGCAGGCCAAAGCTAGACCCCGCTCTGGGGACTGTGGATGGAGGAAATCTTGCACCACTTTTAAGATATGTTAGTTAGCTTCACCCCGCGCCTCCTTCTTAACATTGCTATGAACACGGGGATTTACAAAATCGTTCCAATGACATAAATCTTGCACCGCCCCAAGAGGTCTGTCGTCAATGTTAAGAAGGGGGCGCGGGGTTGTTGCTTGGATGTGTATTCGAAACAAGATGTGTAGGTGGTGCAAGATTTCCTCCATCCACCGACTCGAGTAATGACGTTTCTAGAGGCTCGTGATATGACGTTTCTAGAGGGTCGTGACATGGTGCGTGACGTACTTGTGTGGCTTGCCATGAAATGCCATTGCAGCAAAATCTGAATCGCCGTATAGCAGCGTCCATGTCCCTGTCTTCGCTAATGGAGCCATGCAGCCCTGACAGTGCATCTTGCGCAGCAGCCAGGTCATTCTAAAATCGCAAGAATTCCACAACTTTGCTACATTTGGTAGGAATTTGCAGTTGAACGTACAGTCAACGTTCAGTTAACGTTCAGTCAACGTTACAGTCAACGTTCCAGTTAACGTTGCGAAAATGCTGGCAGGGGCAGCATTTTGGAGTTTTCAAGCATAAAAAGCAAGAAATACATGTATTTCTTGCTTTTTATGCTTGAAAACTCCAAAATGCTGCCCCTGCCAGCATTTTCGCAACGTTAACTGGAACGTTGACTGTAACGTTGACTGAACGTTAACTGAACGTTGACTGTGACTTCTATGCAACGTTGCCCTGACTGGAAGTATCTGCAAGCCATGTAGGAAAGCCACGAGCAGGCCAAAGCTAGACCCCGCTCTGGGGACGACTCGAGTAATGACGTTTCTAGAGGCTCGTGATATGACGTTTCTAGAGGGTCGTGACATGGTGCGTGACGTACTTGTGTGGCTTGCCATGAAATGCCATTGCAGCAAAATCTGAATCGCCGTATAGTATAGCAGCGTCCATGTCGCTGTCTTCGCTAATGGAGCCATGCAGCCCTGACAGTGCATCTTGCGCAGCAGCCAGGTCATTCTAAAATCGCAAGAATTCCACAACTTTGCTACATTTGGTAGGAATTTGCAGTTAACGTACAGTCAACGTTCAGTTAACGTTCAGTCAACGTTACAGTCAACGTTCCAGTTAACGTTGCGAAAATGCTGGCAGGGGCAGCATTTTGGAGTTTTCAAGCATAAAAAGCAAGAAATACATGTATTTCTTGCTTTTTATGCTTGAAAACTCCAAAATGCTGCCCCTGCCAGCATTTTCGCAACGTTAACTGGAACGTTGACTGTAACGTTGACTGAACGTTAACTGAACGTTGACTGTGACTTCTATGCAACGTTGCCCTGACTGGAAGTATCTGCAAGCCATGTAGGAAAGCCACGAGCAGGCCAAAGCTAGACCCCGCTCTGGGGACGACTCGAGTAATGACGTTTCTAGAGGCTCGTGATATGACGTTTCTAGAGGGTCGTGACATGGTGCGTGACGTACTTGTGTGGCTTGCCATGAAATGCCATTGCAGCAAAATCTGAATCGCCGTATAGTATAGCAGCGTCCATGTCGCTGTCTTCGCTAATGGAGCCATGCAGCCCTGACAGTGCATCTTGCGCAGCAGCCAGGTCATTCTAAAATCGCAAGAATTCCACAACTTTGCTACATTTGGTAGGAATTTGCAGTTAACGTACAGTCAACGTTCAGTTAACGTTCAGTCAACGTTACAGTCAACGTTCCAGTTAACGTTGCGAAAATGCTGGCAGGGGCAGCATTTTGGAGTTTTCAAGCATAAAAAGCAAGAAATACATGTATTTCTTGCTTTTTATGCTTGAAAACTCCAAAATGCTGCCCCTGCCAGCATTTTCGCAACGTTAACTGGAACGTTGACTGTAACGTTGACTGAACGTTAACTGAACGTTGACTGTGACTTCTATGCAACGTTGCCCTGACTGGAAGTATCTGCAAGCCATGTAGGAAAGCCACGAGCAGGCCAAAGCTAGACCCCGCTCTGGGGACTGTGGATGGAGGAAATCTTGCACCACTTTTAAGATATGTTAGTTAGCTTCACCCCGCGCCCCCTTCTTAACATTGCTATGAACACGGGGATTTACAAAATCGTTCCAATGACATAAATCTTGCACCGCCCCAAGAGGTCTGTCGTCAATGTTAAGAAGGGGGCGCGGGGTTGTTGCTTGGATGTGTATTCGAAACAAGATGTGTAGGTGGTGCAAGATTTCCTCCATCCACCGTAGTAGTAGTACTACTACTACTACTACTACTACTGCTACATCTACTACTACTACTACTACTACTGCTACTACTACTACTACTACTACTACTACTACTACTACTACTTCGACTACTTCCACGACAAGGACGACAACGACGACTACGACTCCGACTACGCCTACGACTACTACTCCTCCTACTTCTACTACTCCTACTGCTACTGCGACGACGACGGCTACTACTGCTACCAGACGACGATGCATGCTGCTGACTACTACTGCTGCGACTACTACCACTAAAACGACCATCAAGGAAGATTGCGATTTCTCGACAACAACAACAGCAACAACAACAACAACTGCTACTACTACTTTTGCTACTACTACTACTACTACTACTACTACTACTACTACTACTACGGCTACGACTACTACTACTAGTACTACTACTACTACTAGTACTACTACTACTACTACTACTACTACTTCTTCTTCTACTTCTACTACTACTACTCCTACTCCTACTCCTACTCCTACTCCTACTCCTACTCCTACTCCTACTCCTCCTCCTACTCCCACTCCCACTCCTACTCCTGCAGCTGCTACCACTACCACTACCACTACGACGACGACGACGACGACGACGACGACTACTACTACTACTAGCTACTAGTGCTACGACTCGTTGTCAGGCCGCATCATCACTGTCCGTGATAGCGTCGGGAGAGTTTCAAAATTTGCGTCTCGTGGCGGATTTGGTGCTGGTTCATCAGTGGAGCCTTTTCCATGCCACAACTTTGCTGGGAGCCTTTGTTCTATCCTTCTGATTCTGCAGCGGATAGGCCGAGTAGTTTGAAGCAAGCCCTGTTAAGCTGAGCGGCTCTTCCGCTGGGAAGGCGGCTGGCAGAGGTACAGATTGGAAGGACTCAATGTCCGCGCCTGGAAGGCCGCCGACAACGCACACATGGACAAGGCCGCGTCAAAACATGTTCGAATCACCGGCCACCCAAGCCTGGGCGACCCCCTCTGCGGCCAGCTGGGCGGAAAAATGCAGAATCGGCCGGCCCTGAACTGCCGCAGAATGCAGAGCTCGACCCAGACCTACATCAGCCTCGCACATCTCGCATCTTGGCCTCAGAACCAGCACGCAACAGTGTTGCCGCCTAGACTCTACCAGTCATTGGCAACTTGGAGCTGTGATCCAGTCCTCTCAAGCAAAGCGGGGCAGAACAAGTTTGCCCTCGCGAGCCCAGCAATCTTCGCAGTCTTCGGAGCCAGTTCTCAGAGTTTACCACTTTCTCTGAGTTTCCGTGAAAGCAGTCAGAAGCTCTGGATGCAGGGCATTACAACAATTGAAAACAAAGCGGGGCTTGTGCAGTAATGAACAGACGAGCTTGCCGCAACGAGAGCGATAAGCCAACAGAAACAGAAAAGTGAGAGGAAGGCACTCACCAAACTCTACTTCACAATCCGTACGTAGAACATGCCATAAAACGAGAGACATCATGAAGAGGCCACAAAGGCAGAGCTCCCGTCCTGCCGGCCCACGCGCAATGCCTGATTGGAATCACGCGGAATTGGACGCAACGAGCGAGATTCTGCCTCCAGTGCCATATCCTAATGCTGCCGGAAGGCCTTCAGCAGCCGGTTTGGGCGAGCGGTCAACCGATCCTGCAAAACCCGCGGTCGACACACTTGCTGGAATCGCATCAGCTGCCTCTGACTGCTGACCGGCTCCATCTGTGGCGTAACAGTTCTATCATGCCATCGGTTTGCTGAAAACTCCCCAGCTCAACTGACCTGCCTGACTCTTCGTGCCAGGAACTCATGGACGGAGTGCTCAGTGCCATCATCGGATCTGCCACGTCCTCCTGGAGTCTGCCCTATAATTCTGGCTCCCACCCCGAGACTTGAACCGCCCCCCAGCTCGAGATGCTTGGTAGAACTTGCGAGACATTTCTGATGCGATGTGCCCGCAAATGGAACGTGTGGTACTCTGCGAGAAACTTCCTTGCACCAGTCCTCAGCCACTGCCGGCATGACGCCAACGCCCAGGCGACCAGGCTGATTTCCATGTTCCTCGGTACAAACAACATGTCAGTGGCCTTCCGTTGGCTTTCTTTGGCATTCGATGTAGCTGACGTGTGACATGCAGGCGCAAGGCCGACTCCTAAGCTTCGGAGCCAAGAGACGCGCAAAAGGCCCCGGTCTGGTGGAAAGAAGCCCCAAGAGGCTGCCTGCAATGCTTGCATGCTCTGGTGGCTTCCTGTATGCCGGCAACTGAACTGCCTTCCAAGAGGCATACGATTCCGGAACGTTAGCAAGCGGTGACGAAGATCCCGGTGATGCAGCCGGTGTGACTGATATCTCCGGTGAAGGACACGGCGCTATCTTTGTGGCCTCCAGCAGACACCCTACATGGCGAGCCCAACTCATCACAAGCAGCCGCAGGCGAATGCCCTGGATCAACAGTGTAGCTAGAGATGCTTACTGCAAGTACCGCACTCATTCGTGCACATGTGAGCACTGCCATGCAGAGGACATGTACAGTCAAAGTCGAGACAAAGGGCAAGGAGAGATAGATAGAGAGAGACTCGGATATGGAAACGACTAGGGAGTCTTGTGACTATCAAAGCATGACCAGCGAAGATTCTGTTTAAAGCCAAGGCGCTGAAGCAGTTGGGGAGGCACTCAGCCGAGCAGTCACGAAGCACAGCTTGACGAACCTTGTGGTGCGATGCACCCGCGAGCTTGTTGAATCTCGAAACAAGCAACATGCAACGAAGCAGCAGCAGCGAGAGAGCCACAATCACCATGTGTCCTTGCTAGTGCACAAGGGCACGCAACTGCGAAAGCTTTTCCGATGGAGAAGCGTCCTGCAAGCAGAAGCAGAAGTCCCGCCGCAAAGTGGCCTGCCAGGGAGACGACCATTGCTCGGCGCAGCCTGGCAATGGCAGCAAGAGGGCGATTTCTCAGCCGGGGCTCCGTCTGCCAAGAGGCTCAGCGAGACCCACATTTCCCATACCTACAGCTCGATGCGTCTACTTCTTGCTGTGTCCGGAAAAAGCGAAGGCCTGCAGCCCGAAGGACTTCCAACGTCCTTCCTCTGAGCGATTGAATCGGCACCAGCCTCGTCCGAGCATAAAGAAGTGCTGCAAGTACAACGGATGCACAAGGCCTGTGAGCATTCGATGGCTTCTCCTCGCCGCTTTCTCGGCGTTCCTGCAGGCTGGTCTGCGTGCTCTGCTGGAGGGGCTGAGGATGATTTAGCATTGGATTTTGCATGCGACGAGTTTCTGCATTTTCCCTTTCGACAAAAATCGCAACCTGTCTAGTGACCAGTGAAACGCTGATGTCCTTCTTGGGTCTCGCTTGGCGGCCCCTCAAGGGACAAAACATCGAGCTGAGCCTAATGTCAGTTCGTCGGTCGAGAGCCTTGCCGACTTCGCCACTCAGCAACTATCTTCGGCCTCAGCCTTCGGAAGGCAGCAGTGCCATAGTCTGGGCCTTCACCGGAAGCTAACTCGCGCTCGATCAGAGCTTCGAGCCACTCGGACCAGCTCTGCAGCTGCGCTTTAGCTGCCGGTTCGGACTCCGCTTGTTTCGCGATACTGCTGCGACAAGCCCGTAGAGCTGCCTCTTTCCTGTCGGCCTCTGCGCAAGCCTGCTCGAGGCTTCGAAGCAAGTTGAGCAAATCTTCGTTCTGGTCGGGTGCGGATGCTACCTCACCGCAACCATCCCCGTCCGGCACAACCTGCGAGAATCCGATCTCAGCTGATGCATGGCCAACCCTCATTTTCTGCTTTCTGGTGTACCGCAAGCAACACCGACAGCACACGCAGCAACAAACTGAAGCGCCAGCTACGGATACAACGAGCACTGCATCCGTGCTTTCAGATCCGTTTCCCCCGACGTCCTGTGTGGCAACCACCCCTGAGCTCGTAGTGGAGCTGGTTGTTGCACTACTGGAAGATGACGTTGAGGATGCAGTGCTCGTGAATGTGGACGTGCTTCGCGATATGCTACTCGAACTAGAAGTAGTGGTGCTTGTTGTTGGGGTGCCCGTGAGGGTTGTCGATGGTGTGGTAGACGAGGTGCTGGAAATAGTTGTGGTTGTTGTTCGCGTTCGTGTGACGGTTGTTCGAGTGAGGCTTGTCGATGGCGTTGAAGACGTGGTGGTTGATGTCACTGTTGAACGTGTCTGAGTAGATGTGGGCGAAGTTGATATCGTGGACGACGAGGATAAAGAAGACGTCGTTATGTGCTCACAGTAATCCCATGTGCTTCCCTGACATTCCGTCGCATTGATGACGAAGCACCACTCGCCTCCAAGATCACCATCTGGATTGCAACAGTGACTCAGGCAGAGTGTGCCATTGTACGACCAGACCTCCTTGCACATGCAGCCACTGATTGTGTAGTTGGTGAAGCTAAGCTCGCCGTATGCTGACACTGCGAAGATGAAAAGCAGCTTAGACCACCATGGCAGCATACGCAGATCTTCTGCGCCATGTGTCGCAGCACTGCTACATGTTTGGGTGGACGAAGGCTTGCGTGTCGCTCTGTCACAACATACAGCCTGGCACCGTTACACTTTCCATTCCAGCTTCTGGCTAGGCAGAACTGTCCTCACCTGTCATGCCGAGTATTTCGGATTGTCGGCTTGAGCCGCTCTTGGCTGAGAACCATCTGTCGCACTGTCGCTTGCCAGGTGCCTACATCTCCAACACCGTCGGAGGTCGCAACATCCTCTAATTTTCTACGTGGACTTACTGATTAGACGACATGATTCGAGCTCCAAAGGTCTTACAAGCAAAAACGCCATGGAACTTCGTGAACCGTGCGTGCTACAATCGCCTGGGAAGGCGGCACCGGCCCCTGCTGGCAAGGCAACGCCTGGGCTGGAGGCGGGATGTGACATGGGCTTCGGCTTCGGAAAAACCTGCAATCTGGGGGCCACGCCGCATCTGCACAACCCGCCTCTTCCTGCTTGCACCCGGGCTGCTGCGGAACATCTGCCTTTTGGCTGCGCAGGACGTGCTCATGTCATGGCAGCACAACTTGACTCCCCGCACGGAGTCGTAAAATGCCATCCCAGCTTCAGACGTGGCATTCGCAGTCAAGCATAGTTGGGTTCGCTCCGCGTGGTTGACTTCCTGCGCTCCACTCTGGTCTTGTCCTGCCAAAGCAACAACCTTCAGCGCCCAGCTCTGATTATGCCAACCAGCGCTCATCAACCACTCCAAGCTTACCTTGCTGATTTCAATCCAACACTCCAACGAACCGGGGGTTTTACACAAACTTGAGATCTCGAGTACAGAAATTGAGATGCAAGACGAACCCTTGGACGTTGGACTTCAGGGGCGTACGTGCAAACGACACGAGCTATTCACCCGGATCGGCACCATCCGGATTCAGAACCTTTGCCCGTGAGTGGCCTTGCTGTTAAATGATTCCTCTGTTTTAGATCGGTCTCAGCTTTTCAGACGAGGCCAGCACGGGAAACACTGCATCTGATAGCTTCCGATGTCCCACCCTGTCCTTCCACTTCCAGGATTTGTTCTTGCTCAATCTGCTCCTCTTCCTCTGCGCCCTCGTCTTCATCGACTTCGAGTACAGCTGTGAGGCTGCGAGCCTGCATGTTGTGAGGCACCTCTGGGCTATCCCGCAAACGCCACATTGAGCAGCTGACTAGGCTAGATCAGACAGAGTCTAGCAGGTCTCTGAGCCCTGGTTGGCCAGATCATATCATGCGCCATGTAAGGGCCGTCCTTTGCTTCTGAATCCCTTTCTCTGTGATTCGTGCCCATGCCCGGTTTCACCAGACCAACAAACCCCACTGTTGGCGCTGGGATAGAACTCCCAGCTTGAACAGCTGGGCTTGACACCGCTTCATTGGTTCCTGCAAGTATCTCGCCTTTATCGTTGCGCTCGTACTTTCAACCGCAAAGACCTTGTACGCATATGCCTACGCCTCCACCCAAGCCCGGAACTCGATGGATCGGCAGGCAACATCAGGCAACAGCCTCAAGCTTCAGAATGCTGAGACTTCTGCGATGTGCGATGTGAAGGAACTGCCACGACCAACCTAAACTCAAGCCCAGGTATACTCAGGACTTTGCTATGAACATGAACCTGGTTTTGTTGCTCTGGTAATTGAACTGGCAATCCTGACGTCACAAAACGACTCCGAGCCTTGGCTTTCCTCTGCTTTGGTGCCTCTTCGGCAGTCCAAGCCTCACCGCAGCGGCGACGTGGCCTCGTCGCTTGAAGCTGCTGTTGTTTAAAGCAGCTCCCCGTTGAATAAGAAATTCCTGCATATCGATAAAGCTAGAAGAGCTGTGCTAATGGATTCGTGGCTGTTGTGGCTTGTGTTCTTTGGACACTACGGCCGGCTCTTTGCAAGAGATGGCTAAGGTGCCGGGAATCGGCGGTAGACAACGTTTTCGCGCACCAAAACCCCGGAGTCAAGCACCAACCTGCTTCAAGCACCAACAAGCCCTGGTTCCGCCACGACCCTAAGCTCCCCCCACCCTCAACCACCCTTCCCTGCACGAAAGTTTCCCTGTCCTGCCTACCCGACCGCACCCTATCCCCCTCCCAACTCTACCCTACCCCACCCTAACCTAGCCTGCCCTTCACCACCCTACCTTTCCACACCCTCCGACCACCCTTACCTCCCCTGTGTGCCGCCTTTGACCCCACTCTGCTAACTTACCCTTACCCTCTGCCCTTGCTGCCCTGCCCCACCCTACCCTATAAACCCCTACCTACCTTATCCAACCCGCCTAGCCAAAACCCCATCCACCTCCGTAACTGCATCCACCGGCACCAGACCACAAAACCTATCGAACCCGATCACCGCAACTTCTTGCAGCAACCATCCACCCACAGCACCCGAAAAAAACCCACCAAAACCCCAACCCCATCTCATCTTCTGCTACCTAAACCTACTGTACCCCACTGTGAAGAACCATACCCTGCCCTACACCGACCCTGGCGTACCGTACCCTCCCCTCCCCTACCCTGCAAAACCCACCCAACCCAACACACGCGCACAACCCCACTTTACCCTACCCCACCCTAACCTACCCTGCCCTAACCAACCCTTTCCTGCCAAACCCTAATTGACCCCGAACCCCCCCTAACAAACCACTTATCCTGCCAACTCAACCCCCTGCCCCACCCTAGCCTTTAGGCCCCTAACCCACCCTACCCTAATCGATCCTGCCAAACCCTGCCCTGCCCCTACCCAACCCTTTCCTGCCAATGCTCCACACAACTCCAACCACCCGCACGCACACCCTACCCTACCACACCCTACCCTAAACTTCACCCTACCCCATCCTGACCTACGTCAAGTCCTAATTTAACCTACCCTAACCTACCATTACCTCCCCTGCCTGCCTGCCCTTGACCCCATTGCGCTAACTTACCCTTACCCTCACCCAACCCACAGCAGCCGCACAACCCTACCCTACTCTTCCCCGCAAAACCTACACAACGGGAACCCAACCCTGCCCTACCCCACCCTGCAAAAAAAGGCCCAACTCTTCGCCACAAAACCTACAAATTCCAACCCACCAACCAACTACCCAACCCCACCCTCCCCTACCCTACCACACCCTACCCCAAACTACTCTTCGCCCTAACCAATCCTTGCCTGCACCCTAAACCCCAAACCCGAAACCTATCACCCGAACCTCCCCTGCCTGCCCGAACCTGCCCTCACCTACCCTATCCCTCGCCTGACCCTAACCAACCCTTTCCTGCCCTACCACAAAACCTACACAACTCCAACCACCCACAAGCACACTACCCTACCCTCCCCACCTTGACCCACCCTGTCCTACCCAATCCAAACCAACCCTCCGAATTTAACCTACCCTAACCTACCCTACCCTACCACCGCAAGCAGGTACCCTACCCTCCGCTCCCCTACCCTACCACACCCTACCCTCCCCAAAATACTCTTCACTTAACCCTACCCCACCCTGACCTACCCTGCCCTGCAATCCTTTCCTGCCAAACCCTAAACCTTTTTTCCTGTCCGAACCTACCTTGACCCCATCCTGCCCTACGCTAACCTACCCTATCCCTCGCCTGACCCCCAACCCCTTGCCTGCCAAACCCGAACTCCCTAGCCAACCCTAACCTACCCCACCCTCCCTGCCCCAGCCAGCCCCGAACTCCCCTTCCCAACCCTGTCCCACCCTACTTAACCCACCCCATACCCTAACGACTCGTTCCTGCCTTCCCTCTGCCTGACCCAAAACACACTCTGTCGAAAACCAAACCCTGCCCACCCTTCCCACCCACCCCGCACCACCCCACCCTAAACCACCCGCAAGCAACTACCCTACTCTTCACTTCACCCTACCCCACCCTGACCTACCCTGCCCTACCCTACCCTACCCAACCCTTTCCTGCCAAACCCTGGCCTTCACTATCCTGCCACCCTGACCTTTCTTGCCTGCCCGAACTTGACCCAACCCTGTCCTACCTACCCTACCCTACCGCTCTCTGCAGCAGCAGCCCCCTTGACCCCCTCCTTGCCAACTCAACCCCTGCCCCACCCTACCCTAAAGGGTAGACAACGATTTCGCTAACCAAAACCTCCGCATCAATGCATGGGCACCGTTGCTACATATTGGTGTTTTGTCGTTTGCGGTTTTGCGGCTGCTGCATCACTTTCTCAGGGCAAGGTTGTTGAATGCTTTGTCTTTGGTGCGTGGTGTTGTTTTGGTGCTTGTTGCCGGTGTTGGTGGTGCTGGAAGCGTGGTGCTCGAAGCTTGGTTGCTTGAAGCGCGGCCGGTTGCAGAAGCAGGGAACTATCGGGAATCGGCGGCATGGTGCAATATGGCGATGTAAGTACGGGAGGGAAACTGAAACCCAACAAATAAACTTGCCATTTTACCTGCTCAATGAAGGAAATTCCGTTCGCTCTTCCCAAAACCTCTTCCAAATCAAATACAGAGTTCCCGTCGTCTGGCTGCCTGGATGGTCCACGGGGAAAGGGAAATGCTCCACCAGCCGTCTCAGCGCCTTTCATGGGACAGTTATCGAATTGCACAGCCGACGCAGCAACTGCTTCGGCACACCGACCCTTGCTCAAAGTAAGATGTCACCCTGGGGAGGCCTGTGGTGCGTGTCGTAGTGGGCACAACTTCATTGTGCACCGCCTGCACCTCCTGCAGAAGCATACTTGTCCTACTACATGAGGCCATCTGGAGGTGTCTGCTGTCACGCCGGACATGGAGACCAGCCTTTGCTTCATGAGGGGTGTGTCGAACACTGCGCAGAGACTAAAGCATGAAGCTCTACTATGACCTGCTCCTTGATTTACAACGCCCACTCCCAGCAGCTCCCTGGTGGGACGGCCTCCACGTCGTCTGCGGCCGGTAGCGCGTCGATTTCGACGGCTGGGCAGCTTGCTTCGACTTCAAGCTGTGCATCAGGATTGCGGTGCTCCACCTGGGAACCCAGATCGAGATCGTTCTCAACCTATGTCATTCAGCCTTTGAGGATGACCGGCGTCCAAGCGGCAGGTGCCTCCGGCGCTAGTGCCGCATCTTCCCGGCAACCCCCTGCTGGCATGGGCATAGCCCGCATGGCCATAGGTGGAGGTGCCTGCGCTTGTTCTCCAACGCCGATGCCGTCATCCGCCTGGACAGAACTCTGCAAAACAGATCAAAACAGATGCTCAGATGCGAATTTGGACGGCAGCCTGACATGAAGGGGCACGGACGGATGTGATGTTAAAGCATGTGAAGCAAGACCGCAAACAGCTCGGTCCCCCATCTACTCTGCAACTGAATTGCTTGCAGTTGCTAATTCGGGAAGGTCGTTGTGAGGGCTTATTAACTCAGCAGCACGAGCTGACGTGTTCGAGAGTAGGCCCTTGTCAGAACACATGTTTGTTGAAGCATGGGCAGATTTCCACGAAGCGAACTCGTCAAGTCGCTCGTCGCTCATTTTACGGTTGCATGCTTCTCTCGGCTTCCACTCACGAGAATCTGCAAAGTGCAAAGCGCACATGGCACAGTTGAAGCAGCAACTACATCCTGCAGAACACGCCTTGGAATTACATCGACGGATCACCGGAGTCTCCTCCGGCTTCACTTTCTCAGCGCCTGAAACACGCAGAGTCGAACCAGTACTGCTGCCAGTCAAGCGGTTGCACCTCCCAAGCAATGGTGCCCACAGGGTAGAAGCAGCAGGAGAAATCCGACGACGGTGCTGAGGAAGAACCCTCCGAAACCTCATCATGCTAAACACGTCCGAACCAGCAGATGTCTCTTCAAGTCAAAAGCTGATGGCAGGCATTCATGATTTGGGCGTGCAACTCTTTAACTAGGTGCATGCTGAGACACTGAACAGAACCAGATGCTCCTCGCGACTCAGACTTCGTGCAAGACCTGCAAGATGGCCATCCACTTCCTGGTGCAGGAGCAAGACGGAATATGCCTCCCAGGTATCACCAAAAGCGCGAAGAATGGCAAACGGATGTTGGTAACTACTTCTGCTTGCATGAATAGTTTTCTAGAAGATGCTATAGAACTGTAGATCGTTCTGTCTCTGGGAAGATGGAATGCTGCAGTCATCACTAAGCTCGATACACAGCTTTGGGAAGACCAGTTAGATTGAACGCCAGCTGCAGGTGCTCAGTCGGAGGAAATGCCAAAATTGCTGTATTTGTTGCCAGCATGACGAAACAAATCTGTGCCTTAATCAACCCTGGGAGAACTGTCCAGCACCAAGTTACAAGCAAGACGAAATCAGACCAAATGGCGATGAGTATATCTTCTGCCCATGATGTATCAATGCCGTACGACTGAGAAACAAAAGTCATAACCCGGTATCTGCCCCATGTAACCGCTATCCTAGCTATTGATTCACCCCTTGTGCGTTGTGCAGCACAAATCCGTGACAATGTTCAGTGATCAATCGAAGTTACAACGTATGCTGGTACTGCTTACCATCGCACCTTAAGTACCGCAAGGGCTTAGTCCGTCGCCGATCATGGTGACGGAACCATCTCAGGGTAGACACGACGTTAGAGACGGTTTTGTCATTATGACCTGGGAACGTTACGACTTCTGCTCGTACAGCTTTTACGCCATTTTCTTCCGATTCTTTATTACTTTGCCTGCCCCTTCTAATTCCGTTTGCCATGCCAAGGTGCCAGTAGCCAGCTCCCAATGCTGCAAAGGTAACCCAAGGTCACGTGCTTCAGTGAAAGTGGGGGCCGCCATGGATTTCGTGAAGACTCCTTGTCGCGTCATCATTGACACATCTGCAATAATTGAAGGCCTTTCGAAGCATGGATGTCTCGCCACTTGCACAGCTAGACGGGTGGTTGGTCACTGAGAAAGAACAACCAACGAGGCGGAGAGCCTTTTTACTGAGGCCTCGGCTCCATGTGTCTCCAGGGTCCATGCGAAGAAGGTGCAAGTCGAGGCTGAAAATGTCAGTGCTGCCAAAGTCGTCAAAGCTTGGACCGCAACAATCGGTGAGAAACTTGTCAAGCCGAAGTACCTGACAGCGGAAAATGTAAGGACTCCCTTGCGAAATAGCGGGTGTACAGCACAAAAAGTTATTACCCAAAAGATTGCCAGTAGCCAGGCAGCAGGAACACGAAGCTTGCAACGAGCAGAGCTCGAAATAGATTGCGCAGGAAAAAGCCTAAGCGACTGGAGACGTCTCGATTTTAAGCTGCGGCTGAAGGAGAGCCAAGCCATTCATAGATGATACACAAGACGTCTTGGTGATGAACGCAAAAACATAGCTTGCCATACTACCATGGTACTGCTGCCCCACTTTTGAGGCTGACCAATCACCGCCGCGCTGGCGACAAGCACAACACCACCACCTTACCAGTCATGCTTCCCACTTCATCGAAACGACCGTGAAATCCTGTTGCTGTACTGTCATGCAGAAACATGTTCTCGGAACTCCGACCTGCGCAAAGGCCTGCAGCATCGCATCGCAGCACTGTCTCCTGCTACAGACGACTACAAGCTAGCCCAGCGGTGTCGGTCCTGAAACGACGGTGCCGCAGAACAAGGTCGGTCGCATTGCAAGCTTAACTCATTTTACCTGCACAGCGACGCCTTGCTGCACGTGTGTGCTCTGACTGCCTGCTTACCTACCCGCGCACATACATGCACCTGCTGCGTCAACTCTCTCTAGCGCTCGCAAGTTCCATTTCCAGACCTTCACTTTCTAAAGTAACACGTCCACCTGGCTGTCGCCGACCAACAGCAAAAACACCAGTGTTAGCAGCGAGACCAGGGCTGCCAACACCTCTGGCCTGATCTCGCATGCACTGTGCATGCATTTAACAGGCCATGGCTGGGATTTCTCCATACAGAACACTGGCAGCAGACCGGCAGCACAATGCTTCCAGTCCCGGCCGAGAGCCCAACCGGGGGACATCGCATCGATGGGGCCACGAGTTACCCGGGCCCGAGCTACCCCGCTCCTCAGGCGCCATCAATGCAAAAGGTGAGCAGGCTTCACTTGCAAAGTGATCTCTGCCGGGCCTGGCTGTTGTGCATGGTTGGGCCATGGCGATGCGTCACTACAGGCTGGTGCAAGGAACGCCCATGCTCTGCAAAACCCCTTCCTTCAAATACCCACCTCTTGCCTTCAACCAGGCAACCGCATGTGCTGAGTAGTAGTCATCCAGAAGCCCCGACCGTTTCTCCCATCTCACTCGAACTATTTGCACACATATAAAATAAGCTTTATCAGACTTGATGCGAATGTTTGGTGGCGGCAGCGACAAACAATGCAGCAAACCGACCTGCTCGTTCCGGCAAAATCAGAGAATCGATTCTCAAATCCTCTGGCATGAGGAATGCAATTACCGCGCTTCGATTCTCACACCCTGTGAAATGAAATCGCCGGTCCAAACGCGGCATCCACCTCGTGCATACTCTCCATCACTGCCACAACACATTGACTCCCCCAAGCAGGCCGTCTAGTGTCCAGACCTCTTGTCCGGCGCTTCCTTCAGGCTTTGTTTGCCTGTCTCTTCGAGCATCATCCGCTGTTCGTCATCGCGCTGCTCCAACTCCTCCACGACGTCCTGACTGAGCGCAGGTGAAACCTACAACTGGCTTGAGTCTGAACTGTCATGCTACACGGCCTGCACGCTGTCCAAGGCTTGCAGCGCCGAGCTCCTCACCATATGCATGAGTAGCTCAGCCAACACAAGGACATTCTGAGACGGCTCACCAAGACAACCATTCGTGCACACACTCAAACAAAAAAGCAACCATGCAGAAGCACCTTCGGTGCAGAATAAAGAAATGCTGCAGCGCGGCTGTCGTCACGGGCCCTCAGTCTCTCAATTCGTGCCGAGTGCAGCTCAATCGGCAAACCGTACGACGTTGAAGCCGTCAACACATGTATGAGTCAAGTTCTCGGTTGGGGCAAAATCACTGGACACGATCACATGCCAAGAGACGACCCGTCAGACGATGACGAAGGTTACCGACAAAGTCTTGGCACCTGTGCTCGGTGCCAGGATAAAACCGTGCAAACCTCGGCGAGCGCCAACAGCATGGTTTTCCCGTCGATTCTTCTGCAACCGACTCCCCGTAACTGTGTGAGCACAGGCACATACCAGCGATCTGGCTGTCCGAAGCGTGGGAAAACTCAATATGCAAATCTGCTCGGCCATTGCGGATCAGCGCGGGGTTGAGTCGATCGCGGTGATTGGTCGTCATGACGAAAATCTGGCCTCGATGAAGACCAGAAATCTCTCCTGCCTACATTGCTCTGGGCGCCTGCACAGTCTATCTGCATGTCGTGTTGATAGCTATGCTTGCCAGAGGTGCCGTCAGCTTTGCCGACGCCATCGAGGGCATTCAAAAGGCCTGCAATGCTGCTGATTGCATACAGTGCTGAGCAAGGGAACATACGATTGGGGTCCGATACTAGCGATGCAGGCTGAAACGATGTGCGCCAAACCATGGAAGCTCAAAGTGCCTGAAAAGGTCAGCACCGAGTCGGCGAGAAGTCTCTCGCGATCCCGACCGAAAATCGCGTCGATGTCCTCAAAAACCAAAAGCCTCAGTGGGCTTTTAACGGCCCGCGGAGCCGACCTTTGTGCAATCTTTGCAGCAGGGTGGCGAGTGACGTGGCGCTTGGTTCATTGCCGCCCTCAGGGACTCATCCGTGAGGTTGGGGTGCGTTAAGTGCACATAACCTTAGGTTCACCAGTGGGCAACTTCTGAATCTGTATGGCTGCAAACCGTACAAGATGCTGAGCGTCGGGCACAAATTGTGCTGAAAATGGCCTGCAATAGCCTGCACCAGCCTCGCCACAAGCAAGTCCCTTCATCGGGACACTGAATGTTACCTCTGTTATGATTGCATGACTGAACTAGCAAACCTTAGGACCTTGCGTATATAGGCATTACATGTTGCTGGTGTCGTGCTTTCATCAGCGACCGAAGTTCCCGGTTTGCTTGCGATGGAAAAGTGCCACGGCCACGGCAAGGCCAGCTTCTCAGCCCGGCTCCTTCTGCTCTGCTGGCACTGTTAGCCCAGGTCAACATCGGACAACTAGCATGAAATTTTACGACAAGTCAATATACTACAATAGCTCATTAAATATCCCTCTTTGAGTGAAACACTCTTCCCCCGAAGACTTGGCACAAAGCAGCCGCTACAAAAGCAAACTCACATGCGGTCGAAGCTCGATGTTTTGCCCGAGCCAGGTACTCCATGAAACAAGTAGCCTCGCTTGTGCTGAATTCCATGCTCCTGCCAGCATGGTCCCACATCTCTACGGTATCTTCGCCGGGTGCTCAAAAACCTCGCGTCATCTAACGTCCTTGTACCACTTTTGAGTTTCCGGCGCCAGAAACTCGTCCAGATCAGCCAGCAGCTTCTCTTTGACTCCTTCCAGTCGGAGCATCTACGCGCCCCAACGAGCGAGGTTTATCAAAATGCTTACATACTCTGGTGCTGTAGCATTCAACGACAAAAAACCAAGCACGGCCCACACGCACGTACTTTCCGCAAGCGAAGTTACGAAGCGCCTGCATCCAAGATGATGGATGCCATCGGCCGCGCTGGGCACACAACCCGCGCTTGCCAGTACTGTTGAGTCGGATGCCTGGAGCTCTGGCCCGAAGAGGCCAAGCACGGAGTGGAGGCCGGGATCAACGCTGAGTCAGGTTTATGCATCCGTTTTTGCATGGCCTATCAGCAAAGCATGTCGGCACTGCTCCACAAGTCGGCCAAACTCTAAACCGAGCAGCCATTCGAAGACATTGATGAAACCAGCCTGCAGCTCAAGGAAACTACACTCTTAGTCATCAGCCAGGGCTTGCTTAGTTCGTATCTGATTCAGCTACATAAAGCAAATTCATCGCCTGCACTTGCTCGCTCTCCTGAACAAGCTCGTTGCAGAACAATGGCAAGGCCTCCCCAGCACGAAACGGATAAAAGAAAGAACACAACCGCGTGTGCGATTATGACGTTACATCGGGTCATTTGAAAAAGCGGTTTCGGCGACCTTCTGCAATCCATAATCCTAGCGGTGTACGACATGCTAGAAGAAACTGCTTGACAGACTGCCTCTGCCTCTCCGATCTTTGCGAACAAGACCTGAAACGATGGTCTGCGTTTGAAGTGTGCAACTATCGCAAAAAAACTCCATGTTAGGTCCATGTTCTTGTCTATCGCGCCATGTGACTAAGTTTGTGAAAACGTCCACGGCATTCCCGGCACCGACGGGTGAACCGAACATCTGATGCAGGGCGCTCAACTCATGGCCCCTCCACTGAAACTCGAAGAAGCCGAGGCCAATGGTCGTCCTAACCAGGAGTCAGGACCGATGTCAATCAACCGCTTCAGCGCTGGCAAAAAGAATGGTCGGATGTCCCAACGTCTGGCCAGGGCTCGGAGTTGCTTCTGTACGTAATTCATTCTCCGCCAGGCTGCCAGACAACAGCTCTGGACTATACCGAAGGGACTGTACCTGGGCAGTCGGACGCTGCCGCAAAGAGACCGCTCCTCTCCGCATGCCCTGCGCATGCCGTTACCGGGGGGCCGGCGTCCGGCTGTCTTGCGATGTAACCGCAAGCAAGCGAATACACGCGCGTCTTGTGTCGCAGCTCGAGGAAGACATGCTGCGAAAGGTCCTCCCATGTATGCGCTCTCAGGATGACTGGTAATGCAAGGGCACATGGGTAACTTCAAGCTGTCCAAGTACTGCTCCACTTCTGCTGCATCAAAAGGAGACTGCCTGCGCACTCCAAGGTTCCACGGATGTGCGCGGTGTGGGCCATATCGACTACATGCGACACAACCCCATGTCACATTAACGATGCGACAAATCCAGAGAAGCCATGTCACGGACACACCAAGCTGCAGCATTGTCACTCACGTCGCGAATGTGCCAAAACAAAAGTGAACGATCTGTGCCGAAGGGAACGATCGACGGGTTTGAATCTAACGATGTCCCCTAGCTCATGTTGCGCTGAGGCGGTTTCTACATCTATTCAACCTTCCCGAATGCTGGCATGGAACCACTGAATCTCACCCGTTCGAACAAGGCGTATGCTCAAGCCAAGCTACGCGAAATGGCCGTGAAGCGTCTTCATGCGCATGAACGCCCGTGGAGCTTCGGAAACCATGCTGGCAAGAGTTCACCAGTACATGAGTATATGAATGTTAAAAGAATTTAAAAAAACGTGCCGAACACCGCTGTTCAGTTCTAGTTCTATGCGCTCATCACAACTTGTCGGCCTGGCAACTACAAGTTATTACCATGTTGGCAATGATGTTTCGTGAGCCAAGATGCAACTTTAGCCTGGATTTTTCCAGCACAAGCGGTGTGGCCAGCTCCACCCCACCCAGGAACGCTTCGAAATGCTTCACTTTTGTTTGACTTTGCCCGTTCGAGTCAAGCTACGGACACGGGACATAAAAGTGAAAAGAGTCTGCTATCCTACTATGTTTTAAACATGTCTACACTCTACACATTGTGCCTGTTTAGACATCCCGTGCATGCTGGTACGTTGGGCGGTGCTCCAGCTGCGGGAGCTTCCGTCCCCACCCCCTCGCTCCCAAATCCTCGGTGAGGCGCCCCCGCTGGCAGCCCGCCGGTGTCCGTCCTGCTCTAGAATGGTCCAAGCGCGGCGCGATCGCAACGCAGCTGCACCAGAGCCGGCACCAACTGAGGAGGATCTTGCAAGATCGGATGAGGACGAACTCATTGCCGCATTTGCCGCAGCCACTCGCCGAGCTCACGCAGCCTCAACCTCCCGTGGCGCGGGACGCGGGAGCGGACCCGCAGCAGCCATGACCCGATC